TATTAGGCCGTATTCTGTGGCACGAAAAGTCGCTTAGAAAACGAATTCCGTTGCCCGGGTTCGGGCACTACTTTGAAACAAGATAAATAATTAGGATAAATTATACAAAGTCCAAATCCGCTTGTTTGCACTTCCCAAAACCTGCAGTTTTCGAGTATTTCTTCTTCGAAAATTGAAGAAATCGACATCTTTCGCCATCGATCGCCGCCATTTTTGTTCAGGATACTTGGTGTAATAAACACTCTAAATGCCGATTTTCGCGGGCTCATGCTCATTCTTACATGAAGTTTCCAGCTTAGCATTTGTAAACATGGCGTCTTCTGATTCATGTTTAATTCATTTTGATGGGAAAAAAGGCCCACTTACAAGTTTTAGTGTGGTTTCGTATCAAAAATTTTTAGATTGTCGTAGAATTTGGCTAACGCTAGACGGGGAAGAACGCAAAGTTGCTCAAAGAAGTTTGCGGTTTGTTAGCGACAGCATGGAAGTAGCACGGTCGAAAATATCGATGCAAATTTCTCTTTATATCATCGAAGTTGTTACTCGGCATTCACAAGTAGCAGTATGATCAACCGAGCTCAAGAGCGTTGTCAGAATATGGACAAAGAAGGTGTACCTTCATCCTCTGGTCTCCATATTATTGATGAAGAAACGGAATCAGATGAAACTCCACCTGTAAAGAAAATGCTGAGATCTACACACGTAAAAATCGCACAACTTGTCAACAAGATGTGTTCGCAACAGACTTGTAGCAAGCTTGTCAACAAGTTGTAAAAATTCTGTTATTTTATCAAGTTGCTACAAGCTTGTCACTCACAACTTGTTGACAAATTGTTGAATTGCTGTTGGAACAACTTGTAACAAGTTTGTTGAGTTTGACAACCTTGTAGCAAGTTGTCAACAAGGTGTTGACAACTTGTCAACAAACTGGGAACAAGCAGTGCGAACACATCCTGTTGACAAGTTGTTGTAGCAGCATTGCTACAAATCTGCTGCAGGTTTGTTACAACTTGTGCATTTTTACATGTATACGCTGAGTTCACCTGCACATGTAAAAATGCACAGCTTGTAACAAGTCTGCAAACAAGTTGTTACAAGTCTGTTCACAAGCTGTCAACAAGTTGTCCTCACACTGCTTGTTCCCAGTTTGTTGTAACAAGTTTGAAACAAGCTGTTAACAATTTGTAACAAGCTTGATGGCATTATCAGTCTTGTTACAAGACAGTGCTAACAAGTTTGTTGCAACCATGATATAGCAAGGATGTTACAAGGTTGTCAACACAAGGTTGTAACAATCTTGTTATATCAAGCATGTAACAGACTTGTCAGAACAAACTTGCAACAAGTCTGATAACTTCGACAAGGTTGTTACAAGTTGTCAACAAGTTGTTCCAAACCTGTTGACAATTTGTGACAAGCAGTGCGCATACATCTTGTTGACGGCTTGTTGGCAGACTTGTTACAAGATGTGAGAATTTTACGTGTGTATGAGTGCGGCAGCTAAATCATGGAATCCCCACGTGTTGCCATGTTGCAATTTTGCAAATCAGAAAAGTCATATTTCACTGAGTCGGTAAGTTTATTGATTTATTAATATTTTTTCTAAGATGTGTTTTGTAATTATATATTGATTGCATTGCCTTTAGCTGCTAACATTATAATGGTTGTGTGATTTCTATGCAGGGTTTTTATTATTTAGGACAAAATGGTGTCTGCGGAAACAGTAGGTGGTAAACTGAAAGAAGCTGCAACAAAGAAAGCTGATGAAAGTATTTTGATTCAAATTGCTGATAAGGACCTAGCATTGAAAGTGGAATACCATAAACAATGTTATGAAAAGTACTAAACGGTTTCCACAACTTGTTTTCCATAGACCAAAGTTATGAAACAAGAGTGAAATTGTTTATGCAGAGTGCCTCAGTCAAGAAAAAGTTTTATGGATGATGACATAGAAACATCTCAGAGTTCACACAAGAGTCTGATTCTGATGTTGACATTGTAACGAAAACATCAACATACACAAGTGCAACATTGAAAGAAATGTATACAGTTGGCCTAACATTGAGAAACAACTTGCATAATTGTACATCAGCTTGGTACAAGAACTGGCCACCACATGCATCAGATATTACTGGAATAATGTTGATGTGTTGATAGTTGCCTGTGCAACAGCTGAATCATATGCCATTACCAAAGATAGTGAGAGACAATGTCCAAAACCACTCAAAATCTTAAATATCAGGCCAGAACAACCAAACATCTGCTGAATGGTCATTGCTAGTGCTAAGGACTTGGGTATCTTTTCTTTCCCCCTATTAGAAATATAGATCAACTTTTGACACAGAGAAAAATCTTTAATATAGTTTGGTCATCTAATTCAATGTAGTCAGCATCTTCTGGGTCATCTGAAAACCCAAGCATCCATGCCATAACATTAAACAAGAGAGGTGATACTAATGTTTTCACCAGTAATATCTGATGTATGTGGTGGCCAGTTCTTGTACCAAGCAGATGTACAATGTTTTGCAACAGTCTTTGCAAGTTGTTTCTCAATGTTAGGCCAACTGTATTAATTGTCTGTATACATTTCTTTCAGTCTTGCACTTGTATACTGTATGTGGATGCTTTCAATGCCAATTTGAATCAAAATACTTTCATCAACTTTCTTTGTTGCAGCTTCTTTCAGTTTACCACCATCTACTGTTTTCACAGATACCATTTTGTCCAGCTTTCGCTTTTTCGACTTCTAAACAATAAAAAAACCATGCATATAAATCACACAACCGTTATAACGGGAGCGGCTAAAGGCAATGCAATCAATATATAATTATAAAACACAAATTAGAAAAATAACAATAATTGTAAAAAAAAATAAATCAATAAACTTACCGATTCAGTGAAATACGACTTTTGTGATTAGCAAATTATACAAACGCTAAACGCATGGCAACAAGTGGGGATTCCATGATTTAGCTGCCGCACAGGCCCGCACTCGTATTCATCTGATTCCGTTTCTTCATCAATAATATAGAGACCAGAGGATGAAGGTACACCTTCTTTGTCCATATTCTGACAACGCTCTTGAGCTCGGTTGATCATACTGCTACTTGTGAATGCCGAGTAACAACTTCGATGATATAAAGAGAAATTTGCATCGATATTTTCGACCATGCTACTTCCATGCTGTCGCTAACAAACCGCAAACTTCTTTGAGCAACATTGCGTTCTTCCCCCGTCTAGCGTTAGCCAAATTCTACGACAATGTAAAAATTTTTGATACGAAACCACACTAAAACTTGTAAGTGGGCCTTTTTTCCCATCAAAATGAATTAAACATGAATCAGAAGACGCCATGTTTACAAATGCTAAGCTGGAAACTTCATGTAAGAATGAGCATGAGCCCGCGAAAATCGGCATTTAGAGTGTTTATTACACCAAGTATCCTGAACAAAAATGGCGGCGATCGATTGCGAAAGATGTCGATTTCTTCAATTTTCGAAGAAGAAATACTCGAAAACTGCAGGTTTTGGAAAGTGCAAACAAGCGGATTTGAACTTTGTATAATTTATCCAAATTATTTATCTTGTTTCAAAGTAGTGCCCGAACCCGGGCAACGGAACTGAACGATATCGTGCCACAGAATACGGCCTA